ATTTGCCAGCCTAGGTCGTTTTAATTCTTGAATTAAGTATCTAGTTTGTATAAATATCCATTTGTAGAGACAACAAAAATGTTTCTTTCTAACAAAATCCAAATAATTAAATTATATAATTCTCGATTGGATGGCGCTTATACTTGGCGTCTTTTTTTTACCTTTTTTTTATAGAAACACGAGGGATTCCTCGATCCTATATTGACGTACTAGCTTTATATTGACTCTGGCTTTACAAACATGTAGAACTTAGTCCTACGAGAGAGTTTCTCGTGGGTAGCAAACTAAGCATTGCAATTTCGTATCACGTTTATGAAAATTATTGATCTCCCGCTTTTCATCTCGATTCTGATTCCCGCTTGATTCCGTTAGCGGGAACGTCCTTGTAAAGTGCGACTCCTGTAGAATCTCATAAAGCTCGTGTAATCACTTCATACGATCGCTTAATACGGTCTCTGTGGAAAGAAGCACAAGCCCTCATTAGCATTCAGGTTAAAGACCAAGTGCAGCATTTTGTACACAAAAGTGTCGGCTACTCAGACTTCATTTCAGACCTCGTCGGATTAAGGCCAAAGTAGTCTTATTGCGTAACGGTGGAGCGAAGCGACTGAACAAAAGATCGCGGGATGGCAGGGAGTCAAAGAATGTATGTATTATATATGACTAATAATTTTCGCGAAATGTGTTTGCGTCAGGGAATTGTCTCCTACCCACTGGCAAAATTCTCATGAATTCTCGTGGCGAAAGGTAACTCTGTGTGAAAAGGATAAAAGCATAGGTAATCTTGAAAAATATATTATACCGAATTTATCACTAATTTCCAAGGAGCACTTAAATACGCCGTACCGCGTCTGAACATCTCCAGCCGGTAACTTTGTACACGTTTCGCAAAGTGTATGTGTAATTTTCCGTCTGTTGAATTGTAGATTGGAACAAACGATTACCAAGGCCATGAAGAAACGGAGTGTGTTAGTTGCACTTGTACTGTATTTTCCGCGAAACTCGATTTCGAGACGTCGAGCTATTATTTCCAGCAGCGTTCGATCTCGATCGGCAACAAAGGGAAAGTGGAGAAATTAGACATAAATTCTACCGAGCGTGCGCCCCTAGCGTCGAAACTCCATTAAAATTGTGTTTTGTGCCGTGTACATTTGTGTTTTTCGCGCAAAGGAAAGCTCAGCGGGGAGATATAAGAGTATTAAACCGAGAGCGGTGGCCGACACTTTCCTGCCGAGATTACCTTTGCTAATCGGCAAAATTAGAATGCACCGGTGACGCGCGATGGCACGTGCTGTAAAGTATCGCATTGTTCTTTAATATAGGAAATTGGGGTGAAGAGCCTAGCCTCGCGCCTATTTACGATTCAAATGAGCTCGGCTGAGAGCGTTTACGTATTTAAATCTATGCAGCGTTCTACAAACTTGAATGACTCGCGAGTATTATTTGCCGAAAGAAAACGGCTCACACAGGGGCATTTAAAGAGCCATTACGCTGAGATTTGTTATCGCAGGATAGTGCCAAAATCGCTTCTGATATTTTCACAAGGAGAGAACAGCTTTCGTGTATACAGTTATATCATTTTACGTTTGAGACTGTAACGGTGACCGCCGAAGAAAAATACGGCTCTTGAACTCATTACAGCTGCACTTGAATTTCGTTAATACTGTGAGTCGAATAACCCAAGTGCGTATTTCGTCATTTATTTATTGACTTTCTCTCATGGGCTGGTTGAAAGATGTTAAATGAAAGATACTGTATTTCACAGTCACAACTTAACACAGAGTACAAAAGCTACGATAATACAGACGCGATAAACGGATGGAAACGCATTAAATATCCGTCTGTGTTGCGATTAATTATTCGAGACCGGGTCGGGGAAACGAGATAATGAGCTTGAGGTAACGCCGTGCACGCAATGGTTACGCGTGCGACAGAAGTTGGAGGGGGGATCGCGATATATCGCATTCATGAATTTTTAATATTTAATACTATATTGTACAACGGCGCGGGATTTGCGCGAAAGATGGATTACCAGGTCCCGTGCATACAAATTGAAAATGCGGACTGTTAAGGAAATTAATAGATAAACGCGGTCCACTCACCATGGTGGATAGACGCCGCGCGGCGACGCGCCTCCCGCCCTGATCTGCTCGTTAACGTAGCCGCTTCTAGGTACGTTAAGGGCGCTCCTGATGCCCACGCTGGACCCGTCCAGGGTCCCGGGCCCGGGCTTGGGCACGTGACTGCTGCAGTACACCTCCTTGTCGTTGATCGTGTGCTGATTGTTGTAGTAGGTCTTCAGGGTGAGCTTGGTGCCGCAGATCGCGCACTTGAAGCAACCCGCGTGGAAGAACGTGAAGTCCTTCAAGGGGCCCACCCTGTCGACCTGGTAGACGGTCTGGGCGCACCTCAGACACGTGCTCTCGTAAAAATTCGGCCGATACATGATGACCGCCTCGACGGACCGCCTTGCCGAACCCGGTACTCTCTTCCCGCGTCGGAGTCCTCGTCGTCCCGATCACCGCTCGCTGTCGTCTTCTCGTACGGCGCAGTGTTTCGCTCTCAATGCGTACGACCTTGAAAATTAAAGGCCTCAATCAGGGAATAGAGAAATTACCTCTCACCGCCGAGATAAATACAAGGCGACGCCGCGGCGAGACGAAATAGCTGAGCATTACAGGCCGTTTAGAGATCGGCCGCGCGACTCGCGTAGCATAACCGTACATTTCTAATTTCTCTTTGATTTTTCTTTCGAAGAAAGTGTCGCGGGCCGATCTACTCCGACTTCTAATCACGAAATTTTATGTGCAGACGGAAAAACTCGTAATCCTAAGTGAAGTTATCAGATCACGATGTCCGATGTGCTCGACGGGGGAAATGCGTGCGAAGCAAAATGATCGTTTTATCAAACGGATGATAATTAAAACGGGAGAGATTTTTTTTTCCCGGTTAATCTCGATGGAAGTAACGGGCGGACATCGGGTTTAGATAGGATGCATTTAATATTTCTGATACTATCTATACTTTGGAGTCTGCTAGTTGATACTTGGAAATTACTTAAGTAAAGCCGCTGGTATGCGTCTAATAATCTCTCCACGCGCACCGGATATGAATGCGCGAGATGCCGAAGGTGGGAATCAAACGCACGTGAAGGAATTATACGCAATAATTAGTTTGCAACTGTTAATTACGCCGGCGGTCTTCTCAGAGTTCGTAACACGCGAACGTAGCTCGTTTTACGCTCCAATTCGGCAATGTAGCGAGTTTTCTTGCCGAGCCCGGGCTCGAATTGCGCACCGTTATCGCGTGCAGCCCAGGCTTTATCGTGGAATTTCTAATTTCTATCGGCGCATCCTTCGCGTCGAATGCGTTGCCAGGCGCACGTCCTTGGCGCGCTGGATTTTGAAAGATAATATCCGCCCTAGGAGAATCGGAGAATGAAGGTAACGCCGGGGCGAGCCCGAGCCGCCGACACTTTCCTGCGAAATTTTGCAACGAATCATTGCCAATACCTCGCCAAGTGGGCGACCAAAGAGGCAATTGCAACAGGTTTAATGACAGCGATATGCCTACGGTAACGGCGACGGGATTTTCCCACGTATCGTTCGGCTGCGAGCATTTAATCGAATTTCTACCACGCGAGTTTCCATATCAATACGTAACTAGCGGATCTGCTGTTAATGCACCATCCCGACTGTTTCTTTCTCATATTTCAGTCTGATAATTGTATGTTATTAAAGGCGCTTACACGGGCAGTAATATAAAGCCATAAACGCAACGATAAATAAGAGCGAAATGCCGAAGTATCGCACGAGAGTCTACATTCTCCGCTTTAAAGAAAAGTAATTTGTTATCGACGGATAAATATCGATTCCCTTTGCAATTTATTTACGTAGAAAACTGGTTCGCAGTTGTCAATTCTCTGCGAAGCCGCGCAATGGGAAAACACAGTGTAGCTACCTAAATTGGCTGAACGCACTACTTCTTGCATCTATCCGACCGCAATGCTTTCTAAATTCTTATAATGCCGCCGCCACCATCGCAACTACCAGCAATCAAATAACCATCATTTGGAACTGATATTTTACAGGCGCTAAATTACTCCTCGACTTTCCCTCGTCGCTAAGTAACGTTTTGAGCAAACATTTAAGCCAACGGCACACGATACCAATTTTCCTATTGGATTGCTTGCGAGAACCAATCAGGATTTAGCCTTGAGCTGCCTGATCTAAAACTCTGCATCTTTATTGGTCCTCGTAGGCAACCCAGTAGGAAAATAGCGTGTACCGTTGGCTGAAGATAACAAACGGTAAAGCAGAGTCACTTGACTCCATATATGCTTTTTTGTATAATAAAAAAAACAGATAAATTCACACATCGTAAAATGTAAAGCATACGTAATGGTGATGAGTTAAAACATGGACCGATATAAATCAATGCGAAATAAAGCCAATACGGTCCGAGCAAGGTGTAGGCCAGCGGTTTATCGCGTGAATTTTTATATACTGTTTCCTGCGCGCGCTGTCGGTCTTAAAAAACGCAGTTTCTTTTGGTGGGACAGTAAATTCACACACTTTTAAATCGATTTAAGTGTTTTGATGCTTAGAAACATTCTATACAATCCTCCCCTTCACTGCACGGAAAAAAGAATGATGTCGTATCAACAAGATCAGTGTAATTGAAATAAAATCGTTGAAACGACATTAATATTAATACTTGCAAAACGTCAGATTGATGTCTTAATAATCTGGATATTTAGTTCGATGCAAATTAAAACAACAAGTAGACAAATTAGGCCAATCTTAACGAGCACGAAAGTTGACGAAGCAATATATATTTTAAATTTCGGAGATGTTCCAGTTGAAATCAGCGGGCGCGTTTCGGCACACGGTGCTTTCATCAGCGCAAAGTTAAAATTAAAATTAAATAGTTCTTTCGTCTGGTACATAATTGTCAATAATTAATACATTAAAATTAAAACCCATAGCAGATACAATCGAGCGAATTATTTATGTTCGTGGCAGCCCGTGGCATTAACGTTTCATTCAAGCAACTTTGTTTAATTCAATAGCACTTTTTTCCGCGTGTAAAGTATTCTTGTTGCAAAAAAAGTATTACCTCAACCAGGGTAGCTAAATAAATCGAATCGTGCACTCTGAAATTCATTACGACAGGGTGAGATAAAATAAAAGTTTCTATCTCAAGGATCGAAAGTAAGGAATTGAGGGGTCATTCCACTTTAACGGCCCAAGAAACTATGCTTATCTTCAACAATTTCTTTCACAGTAAATACACCGTACAATGAAATCAATCTTTTTGGGGATTTATTCCCAGACAGCACAGATCTCCTGAAGACATTTTAAAGACACACGGAAAAAACTGATTTAGTTGATTCAGCAAATCTATAGTTTGCTGAACAAAATTAAACGTTTTAAAGAAGTAAATTTGCTAATGCAGCAAAGAAGTCGTGTGTAAGAGCAATCGTTACTTTATTCATAAAACAAATCGATTTTTGCTGAAATTATCTTAGTTACTGCAACAAATCATTTTCGCTAAGTGCGAGACGTAGCTAGCGCCAGCCTCTGAGTAGTTCGCCGACCGCCGCTAGGCCGCGCATGGTGTCGGCCATAACTCGGAATCAAAATTCAGTCTCGTAGGGTATAAAGGGAGGCGTGGAAGCCAGGGCAAGTATCGCATATTGCGATCGCCACAATAATAATTGTAGAGTAAATGTTT